GTCACTGGCCCTCATATGTGGGATCCGAACCGGGGCCCTCTGGCATCCCAAGCCGGCTCTTAACCAACGCGCCGCTCGCCAGCCCGGTGAAAAGATTCTTTACTGCCCTTCTCTAATAGAGCAGCTGAAACCTAGACTATTGTTGGAGATGGTTTACATTTCTACTTGGTATCCTCGTTCTGTGATGGCCGCCAGTATTGTTCCTGTAGACTAGTGTTTTCAGTCTGCAGTTTGCCTGTGAATTACCCTGAAAACCCTGTTAAAAGTGAAAATACCCCCTGTCCCCTAACTTCCCACTGAGCTCAGAGTGAACACATTTGGGGTGTGGAATCTGTGCTTTTAATGTGTGTTACATGTGATTGTGATGTAGGTATTCCACAGACTACAGTTTCAGGAAATCAAGATTGAGAGTGCTGTGTTTAATGTAGAAATTTACTAAAATCGAGTTTGACAAAATTCTGGTTGGATATTACTCATTATGTATACAGTGTTTCAAGTAGACTTTTGTTTCAAAGATATAGTGATTTGAATTTACCATAACTTTCTTCAGTTTTTAAGAAATCTGGGGAAGCACAGATATGAGATTTTAACTCCAGCCAGTTTGTGAAAAAAAATGTTTGCGTGAGGGTGTTTAATATACAGATTGCAGAACAGTGAATTTAACATTGTTGTAATACTACTGTGAAAGCCTCAAGGATAACTGACAAGTCCATTTTATCAGATTTAATGGGTTTCTAAATCCTTATCTGCTTATCAAACAAAACTTTAATTAAACAGTAATTGAATTACCAGCTGCTTCTTGTGTTTGCTCCAGAAACTTGTGTAAAAACACTGTGGAGCTCATGTAAGATCATTCATTGCTTTTTGAGTTGCTAAAGAATAACTTTGCTGTAGGCTTCTAAAAATCCAGGTATTAAGGGAGTCTACAGGAAGATAAAAATTGAGAAGAGATTTGCAGTAGTTAGTTTGATACTCTCTTTCTGGTGGATTAAGGTGGAAAAATCCTTCTTCAGCACCACAGATGGGAGAAAATCCTCCCTCTTAGATTTCTTCGTGAATCAGCTTATCCCTACCTAGTCTTGTAGTAGAACAGAAAAAAGCCTTTGGAGGTAGGTATGCTGGCACAGATTTCTAGGAAAAAAAATGAAAACACTAAGAAATTAAGTTTATAACTTTATTTGAGCAACACAGAACATCATGGATAATTGATCCACGAATGCAGGCATCATTCAGCAATAGGAAATATGAATAATATATTAAGAAATTAAGTGAGAGAAACCACATGATCATTTTAACAAATGTAGAAAGAACATTAGGTAATATTCAATAATACTTTAAACTAATTTTTTTTTTCAAAAACTGGGAAACTTACCAAACCTTAGGCTAATAAGTCATTTATTCCAAAACATACAGCACATGTAATACTTACCAGTTGAAACTTTAGAAGCAGTCCCATTCGTGTCAGTAAGACAAAGGATGCCTGTTAGATGTTTAGCAGAGCTCCAAATGTCTTAGCCGGTAGTGTAATGAGACAGGAAAAAGAAGTGAAGAATAGAAATTGTAAGGGAGAGACAAAAAATATTTTACTTTTTTACAGATGATATTGATGCATGTGTGGACAATATAAGAGAATCAATTAATGTTCAGCACAGTTGCTACATAAAGAAATTGATAGTTTCATGTACACCAATGATAACACTTTAGTAAATACAATAGAAGAAAACGTTCCCTTTACAGTAGTATTAATCTTAATATATCTAAGTGTGAGCACAACCAGTTATATAAAACATGGAGAAAATGACAGAATGTTATTGCTAGATATAAAAGACATGAATAGAGAAATTATTCCATCTTTAACAGTGGGATGTTGTACATCTGTAATGTTTTATTATTAGTTAGATAAAAATATTCTAAGCAACATATGACAAAATGTTAATACCAAGTGATAGCCAATAATAAAAAATGGTTGAATAAGTTATGACTTTTACATACTATGAAATATTTTTTAGCTATTAAAAGGAATGAGTTGTAGCTATATTACTTTACATGGAGGGATTGTCAAGCGTTATTGCTTAGTGAAGAAAACAAGATGCAGAAAAGATTGTACAAAGTGATCCCATTTTTATAAAACAATGACATTTATGAATATGTATTACACAGTATACTTGTATATGATCATATAAACATGAAAAAAATAAGGAAGGATTCATTCTAGGCTGTTAACATGGGTTGGGAGTGAGGTGATATGGAGAGAAGGAAGGGAGAATGGGGAGCCAACAAAACAAAATAAAAAAGAAAATGTACTATATAGCATGGATGATATGTTTATGCGCTTACATAATCATATATGTACATATATGTAAACGTATATGTATAAAACATTGTTTTTTTGAAGATTTTTTTTTAATTGGGGAATTGGGGGGATGGGAACAGTGCTGGGGAATTGGGGGAAGGGGAACAGACAAGTTGCTGTCGTTTTGTTCTTCAATCTAGTTGTGGAAGATGTTGCTTCACTGGCCCAAGGTGGCACCATCATTGTGCTCTTCCCAGGCGAGGCAGATCAGTCACCGGCTTCTGGACGGCTGCTCACTGCGGCTGCTGGCCGCTCACGCTGGCTGCTGGCTACACACGGTAGCCCATGGCAACCCACTGCCACAGGGGCTGCAGCCTATGCCATCGCCGGCCACTCATGGCAGCCTAGCTCCAGGCTGAGCCGTTGTTCAGCATCTTAGCTGTGGAGGGCAGTGTCACTGGCCCTCATATGTGGGATCCGAACTGGGGTCCTCTGGCATCCCAAGCGAGTTCTTAACCATCGCGCCACTTGGCCGGCCCTAAAACATTTTTTTTTGAAGACTATAGAACCACTTTAAATAGTGAGACATGACCTAAGGGGAATTTACTGTGTTTGACTAAAGGCTGTGGTAGAAATAGAGTTAGCAAAAAGCCAACCAGTCATATATTGGGTTGTCTGAAAAGTCATGACTTACTTTTGCAACAAAAAGCATAGAAAAAATACATCATGACTTTTCCGACAACCCAATAGAATCCACTTCAAAGGAAGAATTACTTGATGACATGTTCTGTTGCTAGAGTATTTAAAAAAATGAAGCGATTAAATTACAACGATGCCTTTCCATTTTTCCCCCTTTTGTATTTATTAAACTAATTGACCTTAATTTCATTGAGTTCTTGATAACAATATATGTATATAAAGTACTTACAATGTGCTAGGTGATTAAAAAATACCAGTAGTAAAAGTAATAATTATAGGGGTGACCCTTTTGCTCAGTTGGTTAGAGCGTAATGCTGATAACACCAGGGTTGCCAATTCAGTCCCCGCATGGGCCACTGTGAGCAGTGCCCTCCCTAAAAAAGTCAAGTATGCCATGATAGCATGAAAGCAAAGTGTAACCAATGACCATGGCTGTTCCCCAATTAAAAAAAAAAGAAAAAAGAAGTAATAATTATATTTTATGAAATGAGGCTTTTGACAGGGAAACTTCAGCTCTTTCTTTTCCTTCAACTTGGCAAAGAATAAGGAATGCATATTGATGGATTGATTGATTGATTGTCAGGCAAAGGCCTAAATACAGACAGTTCAGGGTTATGGATAATTATCGTTGAAATCTTCATTTTTTTCTTTCAGTGTTCGGGATGACAGAATTCGAGTAGAAAGGATGGATAACATGTTTTTTGAATACAGCCATGCTTTCCAGGTGGTTACAGAGTTTTATGCAAAAGATGTAGTTGACGTCAAAGGTAAATATTTTGTACATGCTAGTGCTATGTCCTCAAATTTACCTGAGTTGAAATTTGGATAAAGGTGCAGGATTTGACTTTCAATTTAATGAAAACTAGTTACCAATAAATAACTGAAAGGAGTAAGGGAGGAGTTCATTGTTCTTGCACTCTACAAAAACACCAGTGCAGCTGCTTTCTTTGTAGCTATGACCATTTAGTAATTTGATGTTTTTGACATATTCACTGGCATGTAAGGAGTTAGTTACCGACCAGTGTTCCTTCTTGTTTCTCTTAAAAGATGGCCCATTTTTGGCTCGCAATTTTATAGAATGTGTAATCAATCTCCTGATGAAGGGTAGCATTTCAAAAGGTTGATTGCCAGAATTTAAATACCAGAACATTAGGACAGGGTCTGAATATGTTAGGTAACCCTTATTTGTCTAATTCACATTTCCTCAGCCAGGTAACAGTGCTTGATTTGGTCTGTACCCCTTGTTCCTTCCAATCCAGCTTACGTTAAAGTCCATTTTTATCCCTTATCACATCCTGCAGAGCTTTCTGTATTATACCATAGATAGATCAGCCTCCTCCAGCTCCCTCCCAGGTATCAAAGTCTTGTTAGAATTTCTCTTCCCGTGGTGCCTTGGCCAAGTTGAATCGAGTGTCTGACTTATGATTTATAGACTTACGACTCCAGTCTCTCGCCATGGAATCATCATCTATGTTCAACTAAAGACAAGACTAAGTCACAAGACCATCATAAGCCACTCTTGGCATCAGATTCACTTAGAAGGGTATAGGACAGAAAACCCAGCTTCTTGGCAGAGCTCGTGTTCTCTTAGAGGGAGCAGTCCACAGAGCCATTAGCGCTTAAGTTTCCCCTCTCCCGCAGTGACAGCTCAGCTGCAAATAAAGACTCTCATCCGGTGGGTGCAGGCTCTGCTCTGGCTTAGAAGCCCCATGTCCTGCAGGAACCCATGTATCCCTTGCTGGAATTCTACATAGGGCATGCCAAGTTCAACGAGTCAGTGTATTCTCAAGGAATGCCAAAATTCTGGAATCAGGTATTTATAATTCCTCCTAGTCCAGGTGGAATTTACTGATTTCAGATTATTTTTACCATATGCAATGCTGTGTCAGAACACACTGGCACTTCATCTTTATCAGGTTTCCTGTGGAACAGAGTTAGAAAGTTAAAAGATGAGATTCTCAGTAGAAGGGGAAAGGGTTTTGTTAACTCTCTATTTATATCTTGGTTTGATAAAAAGCTATAGTTGACATTAATAAATTATTTTGTATTACTGATTTGTAGAGGATATTTTGTAATTTTTTAGTTTCTAGAAGTAATAAATGGCCATTGCAAAAAATTCAAAATATAATTGTGCATAAAGAAAAAAGTTAAAGTCCCTCCCCTCAAATTCTTATGAATTTTTTATGCAAAATCCACATATATACACATAAACTTAAATATATAATTGTGTCTATTTGTACTATAACTTGAATTTATTCTTTCAAATTAATTTTTATTGAACGCCTATTATGTGAGGCATTAATTACACAAACAATACAGAATAAAACAGACAAAAATTCTTGCCCTCCTGGAGTTTACATTCTAATGGGGTGAGATGTACAATGAAATAATTTAGATAGTGTGTTTGAAGGTGATAAGTGCTGTGAAGAAAATAAGGAAGGGAAGAGGGTGAACTTTGAAATGGGGTGGTGAAGGAAGGCTTCACAGAGAGAAGGGCATTTGAACAAAGATTTGAGCAGATGGAAGGAGGTAAGGGGGAAAGCCGTATATGGACATGTGAAGGAGCAGTGTTGCAGGCAAGAGACAGCAGCAAGCACAACTTAAGTGCCTGGTACGTTTAGGAATAGCAAATAGTCCAGGTGCTGGAACAAACTAACTGAGTGGGGAGAATATTAGGAGGCAAACTCAGAGGTAAACAGGAGAGGGAAGGCACGTTGTGCAGGGTATTAGAGACTTAAGGACTTGAACTTTTTCTCAGGGAGTTGAGGAATGTTGAAGAATTTTAAGCAAAGTAGTCTAATGATGTTATGTACATTTTTACAAAGCATTCCTTTGGCTGTTTCTATTAAGAATACCCGATAGAGCACAGGGATGATGCTGGGAGACCATTTGGAAAGCTGTTACAATATTCCTGCTGAGAGATGAGAATGATCATATGACTTTTTTTTCCCCTTTCTCAGCAATACATTATGGGTAGGTTTTCATATCAGTGCAGATAGCTGTAAGTCATTTCTATTAGTAGGTGTATAGTAATCTGGACTTATCAAAATTTATTTAACTGTTATCCTATTGATGTCCAGTTAGGTTGTCTCTAATTTTTTTACTATTACAAAAGATTTTTCAACTCACTTCTTTGTATACACATCTTTGACAACATTTTGGAGTATTTCTAGGTCAAAAGAGATGAGCATTTTACATTTTGAAAAAGTGGCTCTATTGCTTTCCAAAAAGGTTTGTTCTAGTATCAGAAAATGCCGCTTTTCCCATGCCCCAGCTATTTGTAATCTTCTACATTTTTCCAAAGGGCAATTTTAGGAGGTACTATCTAAATTATTATTTCAATAATCATACACTAAATTTTATTTAACTTAAATTTTGTTTTTAATAATGGTGAATAATAATCCTAATGAAAATATATATTTTGTTTTTTAGGTTCTCAAAGTTTTTCTGGCATCATTAACTTGGAGAAGCCTGTGATTTGCTCTTTGGCTGCCATAATAAGATACCTGAAAGAATTTAACTTGGAAAAGGTGCTTTCCAAACCCAAGTAAGTGATTTCTCAAAAATAAAAGAAAGGGGTGAGGTTATATTAAAAACATTTCTTAAATTGAATTTGGTAAGTACTGTACTTAGAGATGTTTACCTGCTATTGATAGGATACTCTGTTCAGGGGGAAGGATGTATTATGTGGTAGTATTGCTGAAGAATATTAAAAATATTAATTGGTATAAAAATATTGATAGAATCCTGAATAATTCTGTCAGTTCATATTCATGATAGCTATTTAATGTATTGTAGCTTTGACTACAAAACCGTGCTTTATTCTAAGCACAGTTAAGTGCCAAGTAGTGAGAAGGGAATTAAGAAGTGGTATTAAAAAGCTTTCATGACACCTCACCTCCTTTCTTATTCTTGGTTTCAGTTCTTATTTCATAGGCCATAAAGTTGAAGACAAAGAAGACAGCTATTAACATAGATAGCTTTTTAAAAGAGTGATTAACTTCGTAGAGTTCAGAGATTTAAAAGCTTCCAGGTGACATTCTAGAAAAATACTAGTTTAAAAACCAGTGGAATAAAAAAATGGGTAGCGGGATGATTTTCTTGCCTTTCTGTATTCCACCTTCATCAGCCCCTTGTCTTTGGCTCTGTGAAGAATTACCCTCTGTTATTTGATCCTGGATAAATAAGCTATTTCCTGTTCTGCTGAGGTGGGTGGACAGATAGGAGCTTTCTTAGTAAAATGGCCGAGGATGAATTGAGGAAGAAAGAGGTGGTGCTGGTTTGAGATTGTTGGAGAGAGTGGAAGAAAGACAGTTCACTTGGGAATCATTTTCTATACTGTGTTTTTTGGTGTGTATTCTTATTGTCTTTAGGATAGAACAGAATATCATCTCTTTGGAAGCAGTTTTGTCCTGTTTAAAAATAATCTAAATATCCATCCACAGGAGAGTGGGTTCATTGTGTTAATTTCATGCAATGTAATGTTATACAGCAATGAAAATGGACTAGAGTTACACACATCAATATTAGCATTATATTGAGCCCAAAATGAAATTGCTGAAGGACACAGAGTACCTACTATATATGAAGTTAGAAACGTGAAACAATAGGGTATATTGCTAAAGAATACATACATATATAGAGAAGGTATAAAGATGCACAGGAATGATGAACAGCAAACTCAGAAGACGGGTTCTTTCAGTGGGGACAGAGGGGAAAAAATAAAGGTCGGTGGGGGAAATGGCACAGGGAAGTTCTACTTGATGTTTATTTTTCAACCTGGGCACTATGTTAATCTATCTGTATTTTAGTATGGCTGAAATGTTTTATTTTAAAAAAGTAGCAGCCTGGCATTATACTTCATTGGATTCCACGTTAGCTCCAGTAATAGGAAACTTATTACAGAAACATCCTGTGGCTGATTGTGTTGGACCCCCAGAAAGAAAGAATGACAAGCTACCTTATCGTTTGACTTGTTCATGATAGGGAGCCTCTAACTCAGGTTGAACTAGTGACTAAATAGCTTGTCCATTACGATTTGTTTCTGTCCGTACATCACCAAGCAATGAATTTTTTTTTTTTAAAGATTTTTATTGGGGAATTGGGGGTATGGGAACAGTGCTGGGGAATTGGGGGAAGGGGAACAGACAAGTTGCTGTCGCTTTGTTCTTCAGTCCAGTTGTGGAGGACGCTGCTTCACTGGCCCAAGTTGGCACCATCATTGCGCTCTTCCCAGACGAGGCAGATCAGTCGCCGGCTTCTGGAAGGCTGCTAACAGCAGCTCCTGGCCGCTCACTGCGGCTGCTGGCCACTCACGCTGGCTGCTGGCTACGCACAGTAGCCCATGGCAACCCACTGCCACAGGGGCTGCAGCCTATGCCGTCGCTGGCGACTCATGGCAGCCCAGCTCCAGGTCGAGCTGTTGTTCAGCATCTCAGCTGTGGAGGGCAGTGTCACTGGCCCTCATATGTGGAATCCGAACCGGGGCCCTCTGGCATCCCAAGCCAGTTCTTAACCATCGCACCACTCGGCCGGCCCAGCAATGAAATATTAATATTAGAGTAAGGAAATTGACTTTTTCTAAAATCAGGCTCTCATGTTTAGAAGTAGATGAATTTGGGTCTGTAAACATCATTGTGTCCTCCTCATTTTAAATTCAAAGTGAAAATAACGCTAAACAGTAAAACATAAAATGTTTGTTTGTACTGAAATTAAAATAGGTTATTTTAAAGTTACCTGACTTGATTGAGTGAAGCTGAATTTATATTTGGTGGTATTGGTGGAGAGCGGTCAGGGGACTGGATCTGCTGGTGCCTTAGTGTGTGTCTAACCTGCCTGTTGGGTAATCCCCTCCTGTCAGTTCCATAGAGCCAGACAAAAAAGACATAAAGAGATTCAAAATGTTAGGCCCTCACATTGTATATCACCCAGCATATGCCCAGCACCTAGTAGGCAGTCAGTAAATACATGATTAATAAGAAAGAAGGAAGGAATTTTTTGTCCTGTGAGCATGAATTTGATTGGAAATTCCCAAAATGTCCTTGGGAGCCAAGATAAAGATTGTGATCAAACAAGTACTATTGTTTCACTTAAAGATGAAATGTGATTGAGGATGTTTTATGGGTAGCATGTGATTTGACTCTGTATCTAATTCCCAAAGAGTAATTCCACAGTTCTTATATCTTAGAAAAATAATGTAGCCTCTCAAAGTGATTACTTTGGAAAGCATGAATGCTTTCCTTCTGTATTTAAAATTCAGTTGTATTACTTTAAAAGTTTAGCATCATAAGGTATGATTATACTTCAAGAGCTGTGCTATTGGGAGAAAATTTAGTTGTCTTGTTTTGCAAATAGTTTCACAGAAGTTGCTGTGTGTTTCATAAAAATCTTGATATACATTTATTTAAAGGTCTTTGTTCCTTTACAATAGAATTTTAGGTTGTTTGAAGAAAATATACCATTTCAAGAATTGTTCTTAAGGATGGATTAAGTGAGGTTTTATTAGGGCAAATTTTGCTTGTAATAAATCGTAGCTATGAGTATGACTATATATTGAGTCCTATGTATTCTAGAGAATCATTGAACCTGGCAGTGGTCTTAGGGACCTGTTATACACTCTTTTAGTTTCCTCTTTAATATCCTTATTGGAAACATTTATGAATGCAAAAATATTCATTTTATTTAATTACAAATCAAGAAGAAGGGAATCTACAATAAAACTCGAGTTTTCTAATATACAGTTTTAAATAATTAAAATTTATAATAATTTTCTAAAATTAAATTTATAATAATTAAATAAAATTAAGCACCAAAAGATTAGGAAAATGGTAAATGTACGACCTCTGAAAACTATACATAGAGAACTATTTTTCACCATAGAGTTCATGGTGAAATTTTTGGCCTTTGTTTCCATTTTCAAATGTTATTTAAATAGGACCTTTGTAAGGGGTTGATTTTTCAGGTAAGGTCTGTACCTTTACTGTCTTTGTCTAAATCAGAAAGATTTCTTTTTTAAAGACTTTATTGGGGAATTGGGGAGGGGAGCAGCATTGGGGAATCAGGGAAGGGGAACAGACAAGTTGCTGTCCCTTTGTTCCTCAGTCTAGTTCTGGAGGATGTCGCTTCATTGGCCCATGTTGGTATTATCATTGTGCCCTTCCTGGGTGAAGCAGTCGCTCTCCGGCCATTGAACAGCTGCTTACAGCGGCTCACAGCAGCTCACGAAAGCTCACGCCAGCTGCTGGCCAGCCCCACTGAAGCCTACGCTGTCACCGATGACTCAAGGCAGCCCAGCTCCAGGTTGAGCTGTTCACCATCTTAGCTGTAGAGGGCACAGCGTCACTAGCCCTCATGTGGGATCCGAACTGGGGCCCTGCTGCCCAGAGCTGGTGTCCCAAGCCAACTCCTAACAAACGCGCCCAGAAAGTTTTTTTTTTAAGCAGTATAGGAATGATATAGAGTCTTAAATTTCTCTGGCAAGTTGGTAGCAAGTATATTTCCTGCCATTATGAAACTCGAGGGAAAAAAGCATCCTTTGAATTTTTGTTGTCTAAAATATTAATGAAATATTTTCCCATGTTACTTATGATATTTCTATCCAGGTTCACACAACATGAATTCTAGCCAGGCATTGTTTATGAGGTTCACTTGAAAACATAAAATTTGGCTTCTTCCAAAAGAATACATAATTCAGAATTGTTTGAGTATTTTAGATCAGTGATCATATACCACTGAATTCCTAAGGATGCTGGCAGATACAACTCTTAGCTCAAAAACGTATATAATATGTAATTCCTTCTGGAAATAGGCACTGACAGAAGGAAATTTCTTTTGTATTTGGAAGGAAGATTCCTAACTCCAGAACACATTATCAGCCAAACATTTGGGAAACCCAGAAGCAAAGTTAGTTCTTATAATTGCTTGATGATTATTGTTCCATAGGAATCAGTCTAATACTGCTCAGTGGTTGCTGACTTTTACTAAAAACAATGCAGATGTCAGTTTAAAAGAAATTCTTTGTTTCTCTACTTTGAGGTTTAGATGGCTTGTTCAGTAAGGGCAAAAACCAACAATAAAACAAACAAAAATCCATATGCACGTCATTAATACTGCTAAGTCAGAAAAGAGCAGATACAGGCATACCTCGGAGATATTGAGGGTTTGGGTCCAGAACACCAACATAAAGTGAGTATCATAATAAAGTGAGTTATAATCTTTTTGCTGGTGGAGGGTTTTGCCATCAATTTGTTAAAAAAATTAAAAAAGCAACATCTGAAGCTCAACAAAGTGAGGTATGCCTGTACTTCTTCTCACTAAAAGTCTGGTGTTGGAACTAAAACTAACGTAAGCCAATTTGTTTGCTCAGAGTTACTGGGTTCTTTTTGGTGTTGTAGATATTGGGAGCCTCCAGTAATTATATATAAGTGAGGACTCTAAGCTTCTCCAGCCCTCTTTCTACCAAGTTGTATGTTAGTCCAGACAAAATTGTGCCACACATGTACTTTTTAGCAAACAGGCACTAAAGCATTATGTAAACTCTTCTGTAAGCTCTTTGAAATGTCAATTCTCGGTCTTCTTGATGTTCTGATAGTGCCTTGCTTCCAAGGTTCACTCGAGGCATAGAAGGAGCAGGATTTCGCTTTTAGTTGGAGTTAGGTGACAGAACCCTCAGATAACTGGTGGAACAGGGGATGCTTTCGGAATCCTAAACTTAAGACGCTGTTCTTCAGGGTGTGGACTATTGGGTTTACAAGTACTTTTGAGCTGAAGGCAACTGAGCAGTTATTTCTGGACAGCCTACACATCTTAAATGTCACTCATTTATCTTACACCTCTAGTTTTCATGGGAGATAAAAGCAGCTCTGAGATGTTTTTAGAAAAGTCTGCTGGGTTATGTATGGGTTCTTGATTAGTCTTTCATGCCAAGGAAGCATCCCTCTAGAGCAGCGGTTCTCAACCTTCCTAATGCCGCGACCCCTTAATATAGTTCCTCATGTTGTGATGACCCCCAACCATAAAATTATTTTCGTTACTACTCTATAACTGTAATTTTGCTACTGTTATGAATCGTAATGTAAATATCTTTTTGTTTTCCGATGGTCTTAGGCGACCCCTGTGAAAGGGTTGTTCAACCCCCAAAGGGGTCGCAACCCACAGGTTGAAAACCGCTGCTCTAGAGTCTGTCTGACTAAGGTACTCAAGTGTTAATTGTGTAGGTTAAACCCAACTGTCAGGAATAGAAGTAAATGACATATCTATTGTAAATACATGGGACCTGGTTAGATACCAACTCTGAGCCTAGGCTATCAGCTCTTCCAGCTTGGATTTTTTACCATGAAGTCAGGATTTTTTACCTGTCAGCTTCACAGCTAATCACTGCATGATTATTTCTTCCTGTAGATAATGTTGTTTTATTACTGTCCCTGGGTATTTCACAGACATTTCTGAGCTTTATGACTCAAAGGAAAACAAACAAACCCCAACTGGCTTCCCTGTGGGAAGATGGCAGACCTTTGTTGAGCATCTACTTTCTGCTAGACTCTGCAGTTGCTACCAAATGTATAAGACATTAATAACCCTTGCCTCCACGGAGCTAAAAAGATCTATTAATGAAGGTAGCCCAAGAGCAGTAGCCTAAGAGCATAAATTGCTGTAATTCAAGGCAAATTAAGTTAACTGCTATAAGAAAGAGAAAAAGGGCTACATACGCCTCCTATCAATTAGTGTTGGAGCTGCTTCCATCTGAAAATCATTAACAAGCTATCCTTTGGAAGCTCAGGCAAACCTGTCTCAGACAAATTACACTGCCAAAGGACACCGTTCAGTTACTAGGCAACGTTCCTAATGTGCTGTAAGTGATTTCTTTTTTAGGGCCCTGGAGCTTTAGTTGGGGGAGACATCTAGAAGTAGAAACATCTCTCAATGAGCACGGGCTTTGATTTTAGGCTCTAGATTCCTGGATGAGGCCTTGTTTTCATAACTGGCTTGGGAAGCTAGGGTTTTATTTAAATCTTATTACAGCTGTGATAAGTGTGGTCAGGCTTATAATGCAAACATTCATGCTTTCCCTCCAAATAGTTAGTGACTTGCCATTCATTATTTTTCAAGTCTGTAAGTGCTGTTAATAGAAAACCCAAAGGATTGGCTTATAAAAGAAATTGAATTCCTTGTATTAGTAATGCATTGACTCATATACTTTTTAACATGAAAGACTAATAAGGACAAAATTGGAGTTGTGCGTACATTTATTAATCATACTGCAACTCAGTACTCAAGTCTGTGTGAAATTCATTGAACTTTTCATCTAGTTTGGGATAGTTACAGAGAAATAAGCAGCATGTGCATTCTTTAAGCTTAAGGAAATAATTTCTGGTACTTTTTCAGTTTTATACTCTACTAAAGCACCAGCCACATTACTATGTGTTGTTAATTATAGAGTAAATAACATTTGTTGCATACATCAGAATGTTGATTAAAAGCTGTTAAAGGTTTTATCAAAAGTGATCTCATGCTGAAGAATAAGGAGGACATTTTTAAGTATCTCGACATATTTTTCTAGCTAATTGCATAGTTTTTTCTGAAGATAACACCACGTGCTCTGCCAATGTTAAAAGACTGTGTTGGTTCTATTCCGGTAAATATAAAAAATAAAACAACAACAACAAATTGTTGGTACCACTTACTTTCTTGTTCTTGTTTTTGGCTTGAGAGCAACTATCCTTATTTGGCCATCAATCTGTTTAACGTTATCAGCATCAGTGAAAGACAATATCTCAGTGAATATTCTTTTTGCTCCTTTTGGTTTGATTCCCTATCAAAAAACTAACTTTTTCATCATGTTACTGAAATATTTCTAGTGCCTAAATAAGTTTTTAAAATTTCTTTATGCACTTACATCATTCCTCATATTTTATTCTTTTACAGGAATTTTAAACAGTTGTCAGGTGAAATGGAATTTATGACAATTAGCGGAACAACATTAAGGAATCTTGAAATCCTACAGAATCAGGTCAGGTAAACATAAGGGATAGTTGATTCAAAATGGTTTTGAAAAAAATATTGGTATAAGGTAGCAGCCTGTTTTTAGAAATATAATTGAAAATAATATTGTCATTAACTGACCATTCTACCTGTCATCTACTATTTATTAGTTGATAACTGCAGCACACGCTTTTTGGAGCAGCAAACACAGTATATGAAATACTTCTGTGAGATGACTTTGGGAGCTTTCGAGCTGTCCCTTTTAATGATTGAAGTGACATGCTCTTCCCGATCATTTCTGTATCACATATTCCTTTGGAAAGACACCATCTTTGAAAATCAATATGAAGTGGATTTTTTTGTCTGCTTGATTATATTCTTTCTACATACCTTTGATTGTTCTCGAAATGACTACAGTCTTATTTCATTATGCAGCATGTAAAACAAGTTACTGTGATATTCAATTAGACTGTAAGATGTGTAATATTTCCCTTCACAAATTTTAATCATTGTTTATTTGCCCTTTATTGATGAATTAGGAAGGTAATGGAGTCAGTAAAATTACTGCTTTCATATATTAAATCATCACTTGGAAATGTGAGATATTATATTGTAAAACTAATGTTATCATAACATAAAATGATAGAAATAAAAAGTAGTTCCAAGTCATTTGAGGAAGTAGCGGAGAAGCTGAACTATCTGCGTCAAATGGTTTAAAGCTCTTCAGAAATATTTATTACTCTTGTGAATGATAGTAAATGCTGAATTTATTCCCCTGACTCCTGGATTTGTATATTACTAACTAGTTTCTCTCATTCAGTTTTTCCTTCTTCTAAGCTATCCTTGTATACTAGAGTCAGCCTTACTTGCATTCAGTAATAGCATTTTTATCTTGGCATTCTGTTATCCAGAAGTTGAGAATCTCTCCCACAGTCTTTCTCATCAACTCTCTGTATATCCCCATGATGGGAAACTGGTAGGAATAAAAGCACATTTCTTAGATGAGGATCTCAGTCAGAGTCTGCAAACACAATGCCAGCATTCCCAGCTTTTCTTATTCGGCCACATCCTCCCTGTTCAAGTCGTACTGTTGTGGAGTCAGTTCCGAAATCAGACTCCTAAGGCAAAAATCGTCTGTCATCAAAATACCCTTTCAGAATCCTTTCATTATCAAGACTTGGGCCTTGTAGAAACAGAAGCTGAGAATTAACATCTTCTGCTTGTCTTTGCACTTGAGCTTTGTCCTCTCTTACCAATGGGCAGTGGCAGGTGGTGGTGAGGAGGGGCTGGGTGTCAGGCAGAGCAGAGCTATAACAGGACTGGTGTCTCCCCCACATCTCCCTCTCTTGTCTGAGCCTGCGTCCCCAGTGAAGCAGGTAATTGGAACATGATTCCCCTCCACCGTCCTCTTCCTGGGACCCTTTAATGCAGGCAGGCCATTTGGGCTCTTGTTGAAGGAAGGGTGGTGCTGTTAGTGACCTGGAGCACCCTCGATGGTCGGCTCTGCTTGTCCAGCTCATCCTCGGGGAGCCTCTGTGACCACTGTAGCTTCCATATGTGCTCTGCTTTAAACTCCTAAGGCCTGGGGAGCTTATGCCTTACCTTTTATTATTTATTCCTGCCAGATGGCATTGTGCCTTGATATGAGTCTTTTCTCCCAAACTTGGATATAAGTGCCTTGAGGGAGGGACCATATCTTAATATACCTTCTTCAGTCATAAAGCTGGGCACATGGGGAGGTATTCTCTAAGTACCTGCTTGATGATTTGAAGGACAAGGAAAAAGTTAAAAAAACAAAAACAAAAGCACTCAGGTGAAAATTTCAATTGTGTGTTCCAAATAAGATTTAAACCTATTAATAGACTTTTTGTATGATAATGAAACTTTGGTTAAAATGAGCTATCCCCTCTAGTTAATTGTACATTTTTTTTTATGGCTAACTTTCAGATAGCAAATCATAGACAGATAAACTTTTACTAAGGATTTAATAAAACACACTAAAATAAACCCTTCCTGGGTAAATTCCCAGAGTACAGTGCAAGTTCACTTTGATCTCCAATACCTTCTGCTCACTCAGTGTTGTCATGAGAGCATCAGTCTTTAAAATGGTCATTCGGAGGCAGTGGAAGATACCGAATTGCCAAAGGAAAATTAAATTATCTTCACTGTACCTCCTAAGGTAGGCAAATATATAATTATATTTTTAGGATGCTCAGGACAAATAAATATTTCAAAAGTGATTTCTGAATAATTTTTACTTAGTTAACTAAAAATTACACAGAGGCTATCCCTTTTTTGTGCAAAATACCATTATGTATTGTGTATATATGTGTGTGTGTGTGTGTGTGTGTGTGTGTGTGTGTGTGTGTTGTATATATTTTAGACAACACACTCATTCATCAAACATTAAATGAACACTTGTTATGAGCTATATGGAATAATTAGGGCACATGAACAACTAGTGATTTTGGTACAAATACAATTGTCTAGTTCATAAAAAATGTTTTTTTGGTCTTCCTTAGACTGATATGAAAACCAAAGGAAGTTTATTTTGGGTTTTAGACCATACTAAAACTTCATTTGGGAGACGGAAGTTAAAGAAGTGGGTGACCCAGCCACTCCTTAAATTAAGGTAAGGGGAATTTTTTGTGTGTGTATCTATTCTGAAATGATATAATGTAAAATTAAGGCTATGTTGCTCTCCTTAAAACCAAGGTTCCCATGCCTTACAAGAACACAGTTTCAAATTGGGGAAGATGATATTTTGTATCTGGCAATCCATCGTCTAATATTGTGAGGATTTTTTCCTTGTCCCCACGAATGAGCCTGCTTATAGGTTGAAAGACAAGGGGTGTGTCTGAGGAAAGTGAGTTACCCAGGTAGTTTGTGTCAGCAGTAATATGAGGAGGTAGGGCGGGACGAGGCTAGAAAGGTGGGTGCTGTCTTTTGTAGCGGGCTTTGAAAGCGAGGCTGAGGAGCTGGTAGCCAGAGGACGTTAACTGCGTGATTCTGAGCATGGGAGTGATAGGGTCTGAGCTGGGCTCCTGTGTAGGGTGAGACAGAGTGCTGGTGGTGGACGGGGGGGAGGTAAGCTAGCTGGTTCTTGGAGAGGTTCTGATGACTTGAGCTAAAGCAGCATCAGTAGGAATCCGAAAGAAGGGTCAGGTATGAGATGTTTAAGACAGTAAACTGAGTAACCAGGAGCTCCTTTATTACATACCAAGCACTGGGCTAGGGTTTTATGTGCATTTCCCTTTTAAACGGCACAAAGTCCTCTGAGTGGCTGCATTTTGTGCTGTGCTTAGTAAATAGACATCTTCCAGAAAGGAGAGCAGATACTGGTATTAGTGTTAGTAATAAGCTTTAAGACATTGTGTTGATGATCATTACCAAATCGCCCCCATGCTGCATTTTTAAAACCCATATTATGTCTATTAATTCTTTCACTGTCCTCGGAGATAGTTATTGCTTCGTTTTATAGATGAGAAAAACGGAGACAGGTTAGTTATCCAAGATCAACAAGCCACGCGCATAGGGGCTCACCTGAATGCATAAGATTTTTGCTTTTTTGCTTTTTTTGAAGTCAGTGAGACTTCACCTTTGATTGTGACCCCCTCACTCAGTCGTGTAACTTTGGACAAGTTACGAACTTTCATACACCTCAGTTTCTTCACCTGTAAAACGGGAGATATGATACCTACCTCGTAGTGCTGTTGTGAGGACCAAATGGGACAGTATACATGAAGGATTAGTGTGGTTTCTGGCGTCAGTTGTGCAGTCAAGAAAATAGTTGCGGTCTTTATAATACCAAACAATTTGAAACAACCTAGTTTCTTAGTAGGGGAATGGAAAAATAGATTGTTATCTAGTATTACTTTAGAATATTACATAGCCATGAAATTGAAGACAGTCATAGATGACCCAGCTGGATGCTTCCAGTGATGAGGCTGTGTGGCTAGGTCTGCCCTTGTCAGTTCTTCTGAATCTTGCCCTTGCCCGTGTTTTACCTTTTGCCTGTAGCTGCAGTCAGGATGGTGAGAAGAACTGCAAGAACCCTGGTGAGCAGGTAGAGGCTTTGTGTGAGTCTCCTCATAGAATGACATAACCGTCAGCAACTGAACACTATCATTTATGAGATTGGGCTTGGATCACACCCTTCCTTTCTCTTTTATTTAATACTCTAAACTTGACTATGCCCTGGGAACTTCAGAATAAGCTCAACTTCCTGTTCTGGTCGACTGAGTACACATTTAGTGTATCTTTTGTTACACGAAAGATAGTGCATTAGTTAGAGAAACTAACTGCTAACAAAAAGACCCCAGGAAGTTTAATGGCTCTAACAGAGTGGAAATTGATTCCATCTTTGCATAAACATCCATGGTCTTGGGCCGGAACTCCCGTCCCATAGGCATTTAGGAATCCAGGGGTTCTTCAGTCTTAAATATCTGACTTCTGAGGCCCAGCTGGGCACCGACATGCAGCCAGTAGAAGGGAAAGAGCGCGGAGGATGTCTTTTTGGCTTTTATGAGCCAGGTCTTGCAGTGGCAGATATTACTTCTGCTAGTTCTCACTGGCTACAAATCATTCTTACAGTCTCACTTGACTGCAAAGAAGGTTAACAAATGTTTGTTATGGATAAAGAAGAAATGTTTAGTGGCTACCTACCAGTCTGTTGTTAGAGAGAGTTGGCTATTTTTCCTTTACCTTTGTATTGTTGTTTCAATTCTATCACACTTTTTTTAGCATAAAAAATGGACTTATTGAAATTTTTGAACTAGTGATACCTTTACGTAGTTCCAGAGTTCAAAAATGTGAAAAGGTATACAGTGAAGTGTTTGTATCTCGTTCCTACCTCACATCTGCCAAGTTCCTGCTGGATAGTTATGGTTAGTATTTTCTTGTGTATCCTTCCAGCGATTTTTTTGTTTTAAAAAGCAAGTTTGAATGTATGTCCTTCCCTCCCTCTTTACATAGATGGGGGCATAATATACACAGTACTCCATACTTTGTTTCTTTACTTTAATAGTATAAGGTAGTTGTTTTAAACTTTGTGCTATTCAGTCTTGAAGGCAAGACATTGTTCCTATTCTCAAGGAGTTTCTAATCTAATTTTGTCAAGGTATAATCTAGTGAAGGTGAAGGCAATGCAAGTAGTGGAAGCTTTTGTACCTGAAATAAAATACTTACCTTGCTCATTGTATAGCCCAATACCACAATTAGAGCAAATTAAGAATACTTTTATAATTCAAATTAGGTTTTTAGAAAACTGCTTAAGAGAATTAAGCATGCTGAGTTTATTCTCGCCTATTTAAATCACATAAATAATTAAAATTAAGAAAATTGAAAATTATTAGTGTTGGGAAATAGGTCCTTGCCAGTCGACTATACATTCATGTAATTTTCTACAGCATTAAGTACATTTTAGTGATAGTTAGTTGTCTTGAATAATGAAATGACTTTTATTTTGGTAAGGTTATATGTTTGGAATATTATTGGTTGTGTTTCTAATTCATAGCCCTGCCCCAAATGACAAAGTAACAGAATATTATGTATTTCCTCCATTTAACATTTAATGTGTAAAAAAACTACATGCCATTTTTAACTCTTTGGAACTTGAAATTAAGTGCATTGGGATCCCTGTTTATTCTTTGTAGTTTCCCATGTTCCATGAGCCTGCCAACACAGTGTTCACCTGTGGTGACTCTGACTTTACTCAGCCCAGTGAGACACAGTACTGCTTATGAATGGGAAGGAGTGGTAGCTGGTACATAGCTGAGAGCTGTGATTGGTTGGTGTTGACCCCGTGCCTCTTTGCCCTTGCTGAGTGAGAGCAGAAAAGAGGACTGCTGCTGCCAAGAAAAAGGCAACGCCAAATGCCTCTTGTCCAAATGTCTGCTCTGACTGTTATTGCATAGGGATGAACTAGTGTCTCTTGGGATGCATATATCCAGGAACCTACAGCTGCTCTCTGCTTTGTTCTTCGAGATCAGGGCCTTCACTGAGATCTAGATTGGCTCAGATGACCAGCAGTAAATGGCAACTTTCATTTGGGCCGAGGAGGAGAAACACAGGAGAGAATGAGGAGGAAGAAATAATATTTCCTTTTTGGCCCTTCCAGCTTTATCTTTCTCTCCTGATGCTCTTATTGGTGGGGATTTTCAGAATATACCCCCTCTAAATGCTGTGGGAGAACTTCATGTTCTGTGGCTTTCACGTCTTAAAAATGTTTCTCTATATGAAATAACTAGGTATATTCCATAAAGTATAACAAACACTTTTTTTGGATAGTTGAACTTATAAATAAATAAATAAATAAATGGAAAGACTCAGGGAACAGATTGAAGAAGCTACAAATGGTGGTGAATTGACGCTGATGTTGCAGCTGTCCCTAAGGCCTTTGCAGATGTTGGTAATCAAAAGGACTGGGTTTTAGGGCCAGTCGAGTGGCACGTTGGTTAAGAGTTGGCTTGGGACGCCAGCTCTGAGCAGCAGTGCCCCGGTTTGGATCCCACATGAAGGCCAGTGACGCTGCCTCTACAGCTAAGATGCTGAACAACAGCTCCACCTGGAGCTGGGCTGCTGTGAGTCGCCAGCGACAGCGTAGGCTGCAGCCCCTGCTGCAGTGGGCTGGCATAAGCTACCGTGTGTAGCCGGCAGCCAGCGTGAGCTGGTGTGAGCTGCCAAGAGCTTCCATGAGCGGCTGTCCGGAAGCTGGCGACCGATGTGCCTCGCCCGGGAAGAG